AAGAAATTTAGAAAGAACTATAGTTGTACTGAATATTGATACCTGGGTACAAAAGGGTTATGAGTATGATTTTTTGGACCATATGGATGACGTCATCACATTTTATTGCCCCAAATGTAATTATCTTTAAAGTTATAATATAGCACTTTGGTACAGGTAACTGAAATAAAAGTATGATTTTCATGTGCACAATGGTCAGAGCTACAAACGTACGTTTGCACAAATTGATATCTACTAATTATCCTTAGTTATTAGAGAATAACCTAATTACCTAATTAAAATTGTTATTCTCTAATAACTACGGGTAATTAGTAGATATCCAGTTTGTAGCTTTGACCGTTATGCACATGAAAATCATACTTTTTAAGGTGTTTTTAATGGTAGGTAGCCTGGTATCCAGTCCATCAGTTAGCACTCCACGAATTGTTATTAACTCCAATCGCGTAAACCTCCTTTCAAGAGCCAAATTGAACTGGCCGGCAGAGACCTCTAACAGTCCGGAAGTGGGCCCGACCAATCAATCAATCAATCAATCAAATGGTGTTTTATTCGTAAAAAAACGTGGACTTTGCAGCCAAAGGCTGAATTGCGTCCAGTTGTACATGCAAATTCATTACACATTTATTTACATTTATTTACACAGGCATTAACACAGGCATTATTTACAACGACTTTAACGTACGGTGTCTAACACAAATAGTGACTGTTCAGGAGGTAGGTCATGTATGGGACGCTACTCTGTTTGTACCGCTCAGTTCTACATTTGGTAAGGGTCAGTTTGTTACTGGAACGAGTGGTGCGCTCAGTGGTGGTCCACGATCCATCAGGCTCATACCGTGAGAAAAAAATTAAACAGGAGAGGGCAATAATGTACCATTGCACGCGCTGACATCCTTTCGATGAACCGTATTTGAGACAAAAGATAAAACAGTTTACGAGAAGTTAGATTATGAGGAAGCAAGGAGGCAAGTTGTGCTTGGGCTGAGTTTTAAAGGATACATTGTTCAAAATCATATCCAGTTGCTTAAGTAACTGCTTTTTGGCGGATACATTGTACTATTTTTGCATTCTAGGCCATGTTGATTTGATTATATGGATGACATCCTCCGGGAATAAAAAAAAAGTTTTGCAAAAAAAAAGTTCTTTTCATTATGAAATCTACGTGGTCATGAGGGTTGAGCAAATGGCACAGAATATGGTTTGGCGAATAATCTAGTCTTCAAGTTCATTTCTTTACAATTTCGTCTTTTTTTCGTTTGATTTTGACATTCTACGACATTGGTATAGTTTTTATTAATTTGTTTTGTTACTTATCATTTTTGCTCATTTTGCAACTGTTTTGTACGATTTACAGTATGGTTGAAACCTTTTTTTTTTTTGGAAACGGCCGAAAATTCATGCGCGCGTGGATGTCATCCATATAATCAAATCAACATGGCCTTACTTTAGCCTTCTTTTCAGGCGTTCCCGGATCCGTCTTTTTTGGGGGGTGGGGTATTTTCTGATCAAACGTAGATCGCACGCAATAGAAGCTCCGGAGATATATGTAGGGTTGCCAGCCGGAGCTTCTATTGCTCGCGATCTACGTTTAATCAGAAAATACCCCACCCCCCCAAGACCGATCCGGGAACGCTTGAAAAGGAGGCTACATTTTACTGAGCTATGCTTGTAATTTTATTCTACGATACTAGAGAAAGACAGACAACAGATTTTTAATGTCCTTCCTAGAGAGAGTCTTTTTAACATATACATTTTGTACTTCTGCTGTGTACACAAAGATATAGTAATACTAATTGTTCAATGTGGATTTGGTAATGTTAGCAAGCATACTCAAGACATGCCCGTAGCCAGGATTT